TACATGTATATAGTTCATATATAACTGGGATCTACACAATTTGCAACAATCTCACATGGATTTAAATTATTTTCAGCTGTGAATAGCCTGCGCATGCCAAAGTCGGAAAAAATGACCAATCTCCATCCATAATTATCGCATTTTTTCAATATGAGAGGATTTTCGCTGTATATATTTCGCCTTATAAACGTACACTTCTTGATACAACCCCCTAGTCTAGTCTCACCGTTTCCCACACAAGGTTGGACTACTAGAAGATGCATACATCTGTTTTTCGCTTGTAAAAATTATGCAAAAGCAAGGAATTCCTTCATGAATAGGCTACTGTCATTTAATAATTTATATGTTATAGATGTACATTTAATGCTATGGGGTGATGATTCTCTTACTAATGAACAAAATGCTGAACTTTTCAAGATTATTCAAACTTTTCTAAATGGATGTGGTCGCTTTTCAAGAAAGCTTAATTTTTTACCAATATAAATCTATATTTGTACATTTAAAGAAGACCTTATTTTCTTTCTATTACAGAAACTACTATGTATATGTAGTAGACCATATATATACATTTATTTTATTTTGGCAATTTTACAAAATGTTGTATAAGGAGAAGACTATCTAAGTTTTTGAACTAGTGTCTAATCCTTTTGACTCTGTGTCAATAAAATATGTTCAATTCACCACACAAGGCTAACGTTCGTCACCTCAAAATGAAAGGAAAATATAATTATTACCTTAGGTTCTTCATTGAATTTAATTGCACTTCATTGAATTTAATTGCACAGACTTAGGTGTTATTTTTTTTTATTTGTTTACATGTCCGGTTGACAATGATTTCTTGGTTTTGATATTGTGCGATGTTAGAACACCTGTACAGGTATAGAGGGGAATCCAGGATTAATTTATACACACCTTCCTCTTGTGACAAGAACCTGTTTCCCATCCTAAACTATTGAAAACATTAAATTTAAAACATTCCATTGATGACAAATACTAAATGCGCATCTACCTTTCAATATGTCATGTTTGCCATGTCTTGTCACTAAAATTAGGTCACATTACTTGCTTTGATTTTGCTCTCTAAAAATCAACATTTTCACGATTTTCCAATGAATGAAAAAAAGCGTTATGATGTTGGTTATCCTCGAGCAATATAACCTTATTTTTTTTTTTATATTTGCTGGGTTAATTACATGTATTTTTATATTTGATGGGTTAATTACATGTATTTTTATACTTGCTGGGTTAATTACATGTATTTGCTTAAATTCGATGGTCATATTTTTTAGTGAACGCTTGCAGGTGGGTAAAAAACTTGGTCGTATTCATGCATTTTATAAGGTTAAAAAAACGGGAAACTTATTTAAATCGAATTTTATTTTTAACGCTAATTTTATTTGTTTGAATGCATGGGGTTGATAAAAAATATGCAATATTACAATTTGTCAATTTTGTATTTATGTACAGTCAGTTTAGATATGACACTAGCTTTAAAGAGCTATGCTGAAGTTACACTGTTCTTGTTAATGGGTCAGTGGGAAAGTTTTGCTGAATTGTAAACAAAGGTGACCGATATTTTCACTGTCCCCTCAGCCCAAGTCGTCCATACTGGCCAGATAATGAGATACAAGTTACAACAGATTAAACAGATCGTTAAATAATCCAAGATAGTCCGCCATCTCCGGTGCTCTCTATAAGAGGAGCATCCGCTACATCTCTTCATCCAAGTGCCACATAACGTTAATATCCGGCTTGGTAGCGATTTATTCAAAATTACTCTGTTGAAGTGAATATAATTTGTTCTATTTCTCATCACTGTAAGAAGTGCATACATTATACATATTTAAAGGCAAATGAATGGTTCTACACTTGATTGTTCTGTCAATCATCACTTGAGTTTTCTGTTAATTTTTAGATTTTTTCAAATTAAATATGCAATAATAGTAAAGCAAAATTAAAGTTGTTGACGTTTTGGCCTTGATTTATCATAGTGAATTAAAATGTTGCCATTCAAAAAACGTCTCTCGTCTGACATGTTGATTGTTTTCGCGAAGGGGCACGTGCTTAACATAATTATTAATGAGGTGGGAAAATCCAGACTTTCCCTAGATGTTTATCTGAATGCATCAACTTGTGTCTCTCTCGTGTGCTTTATAGGTACTAGTTCATTAATCATGATGCATTTTAACGTGCATCATGGAAAAATACATCTTGTTTATAGTGACAAAATCGCTTAAATTAGAAAACGTATTCATAGGGTTTTCCTGGAAGTGTGTTGAAGATCTAATCGGTGAAGGGTTGAGCCTAGATCTACTACATGTTCTTGTATATATAACTCTCCAGAGCCGTGTAGGATGATAGCTGATATTTTTACCACCGAGCCTATTGATTGAATAATCAATATATAAACGTATTTAGAGAAATTAATGAAAATTCACATCAATTGCACATAGGTTTAAAACATTTGTTTTACTCATCAATTAGGGGTATAACTAATTGTTTCAAATCCCTACTTTTACGTGTTTCTTGTGTTGTTTTTTTTCCCTTTTCTATCTCTATTTAATCAATGAAATTCATAGTTTAGAGTCTATGTTGTAAAAAAAAATGTTTTGTGTGTGTGTGTGTGTGTGTGCACCATGCAAACAGACACTCTTCGCTTTTATCTACCATTATTAAGTCTGTGTATCTGCGAACCAACTCGCTCACCCGTATCGTGGTTGTAGGAGGCATTCAAAATTGGTTTTTAGTCAATGATATTTACACTAGAAAGATCACGAATGTTGGCCAAATTTAAACCCTTTTCAAAACACTTCATTTTAAAACTTTGTATGTGCGTGAACAAGTTGAGATTGTGGTTGTATGTGGGCCCCTCTGACCGTATCTCACCAAGGCTTCCTCAATATCACGCCATCATAACAGCCAACTCGTGGAATGCATCTTCTCTTTATCAAAAGTAGTGATTTAGCCTTGAGTTGAGGAATTCCTCATCAATGGCAGCCAAACATCACATCTACTCTGAATGAACCGACAGAATTCTAGGTTCAGATATTAAGAATGTATTTAGGTTATTGGTAACGGATCAATAAGAATAAAAAAGTGTAGAGTCGAATGGGGAAGACGATATATACTCTTCCAATCGACATTGAGGATCAATTTATGTAGCTCCATGGGTTGATTATTCTATTACCATAGCGATTTCAGCGTTTCATTGGTCAGATGTCATACCAAGAAATTCAACAATTTTAAATGAAGAATTCGATGGTTAGAGAGTGGAGACTAAAAATAACGGTTTTGAGCACTTTTTTACAAACTGGGTTAGTAATATATTGTAATACAAAGATGTTCTCTTAGGGTCTGTAGGACCTGTATTTTCAGTTGAGGGGGGGGGGGGGGCTACCAAGCAAAAATTCCTTGACATAATTTTTTTTTTAAAAAAGCCATCAGACGTAAGACATTATTACTGAGGGGGCACAAGCATCTATAGTAACTATGTTTTCTGTAGTGTACTATAAATATCGACAGCATTATTCTGGGGACGCTCTCCGTACCCCCCCCCCCCCCCCGGTTCATAGGCCAACCTCTTTATATGTAAGAAATCATTGCATATATCATCACAAATTCATTGATAGAGCACTTTACAACATAATGAATTTTTGCTGGGTACCTCTCCAGCAATTTAATGTTAACCAAGTAGGTGGAAATGGAATTTCAAAAGAATTTATTTCAAACCACATTTTCAAAATATGCCTTATAATATCCATCCTAACATATCTGATTTGAAACTTAATCTGAACATTTTGAAAAGAAGATGAGCTAAAGTTCACCACTTACAAGTGCCACAGGGAGAGAGAAAAATCTTTATTATTTTCGCTTCATTGATAGCTGAGCAAAACTCATTATTTGGATTTCAATGATTTATACTTTAAAATCAAATTTTTATAAGTGAAGTCTTCAATCTTGCTTTCATTGCTGAAAAGTACTACTTCAAAAATGTCGGAGATGAAAACTTGAAAATTTCGGAAATGAAAACTATAAAATGTCGGAAATGAAAAATTGAAAATTTCTAAAAATGTTACCAATTAAATGTGGTTAAATTTACTTTGAACTCCATGATTAATTGCCACGAAATAAAATGCAATTACCCTTTTCATCCCCTTTTAATCTTTTCATTTACACTTCACTTTAAAAAACCATATTTGATGATATACCTGTATATCTGCTCTCTGAGATGTTCAGGTTTATACATTGATTGATATAGATAGGCCTTATATCCCTTTGGAGAGAGGGGGTCAAGGTGTATATTTTCTTTTCATGGTGTCTTCATCAACTTGTCCATAAGAAATCGATATATGGTTGTCATACAAATCTTGGCTAAACATCAAAATTGCTTGAATATTTCATAACCATTGGCTGGCGGTGTTTATCGACTCCGGGTGGACAGAGTGAGGCTTTAGCGTACTTTCTCGCTCTCATGTTTCCCTTTTTTTTTTTTTTTTTTGGTCCCGTTCTCTTCTATTTTTGAAAAAAAAAATTGTCATTTGATAGTATTTGTACAGCGAGGGATTAGCGTTAGTTCTGGAGAAGGTTAGATTGTGATTTGACTAGTTTTCCCTTTAAAGTGAAAGCTATTGACAATCCATCGTGCGTGCAATCAATGTTGACTGAAGAAAAATGGTATTATTTACATATAACTTGAACTAATACAAACACAATTCGGCCGCTTGTAATTATAGGACCTGACACGTTCGATTTTTTGCCTCTATATCTCCATTACTGTCCATTATTCTGTGGTGTTTGTTCAGCGGGACCCATGTACGGAGGCTAACAAAACTGAAATTGTGGCGAACAGGCCAAAGGTCAAGTGCCATATTGCAAATCTACAAATCAGGCCCACAGAATAAAGCCTAAATAATGTTCCGAGTTCATGCTGATCTAGATTGCTCCGAGTTCAGGGTGTTCCACTTCTTTCATTATCAAGAAAATGTAACTACAAACAAAGGTTTTCAATTATTGAACATAATTTATTAACATAAGACTGTGCCAACCATTGCATCAAAAGACAATGAATGCATAGCCAGTTTATTATAAAATAACACTTCAGGTCTACTGAAATATATATTAAAAAAAAAAAAAAACATTGTACATCATGTAAAGGACGAACTGCTCGCAGTTCTAGAGTAAAATATTTACACTGTGTATAATAATCATGATAATGCCACATGCAGTAAAAAACCACGGTCAGCTCTGTAACTAATACCCACTGGCGATTTTAACTGTTGATTTTTCAAGGCCTTTTGTTATAAAAAATAAGACGCGTTCCAATTATTCACATCGACAATATACTTCATCGATTAGCCCAGGCATTTACAGGTAGGAATAATAGGTTCTGCATGACTGCCTCCTCTCAACAAGAAAAATCGTGACGAGGATTTAGGGTAACTTGGGTGTAGGTTAAGAATTGGGGCAGCGTTCAGGCTGACTGCATGCACGTAATTCTCTTTAATATGTAAAATGATATGAAAATTGCTTGCCATTTTAGAGATAATGATTTAGAAGTGACATCTTGTAATACCGACAATATCTCGTTAACAATATAGAAAAAGTACAAAATATTAAGTCTAAATGGAGCATCACAAAATGCACAACATAGTTCGATTGTCAACGGATGAATGATTGAACTTAAATCCTGTCAGCTCTTCGCTACTTTTGCAATGTTTTCTGGAAGATTGGCACCATTTGAGATCACAAAGTTTTTCAAAAGTTCAAGCTGTTTGGACATGGCGTCTAGTTTTCCTTTCAGTTGCACATTTTCAGATTCAAGATATTGCATTCGCTCTTCCATTTCAACTTGTTTTAGCTTAGCTTTTTCACGACATTTACGAATTGCAAGATTGTTTCTAGCTCTTTTTTCAAAATATTCACGAGTACCTTTTTCAGGCTGCCTCTTCTTTTTCACCGGTCCGCCCGCGGACGGCTTCCTTCCTGGTCGTCCCCGGGGACGGGGAACGTACTCCACATCCATGGGACTTGGGGGCGGGGTCACAAGTGATGAAAGGTCCTGGTCTGAGGCGTCTGAATCTACGTATGACCCGGATGATGAGTGGTCGAGATCGTCAGATCCCGCTGACCCGGTGGAATGAAGAGTTTCTCTGACAGATTGTAAACAGGACGACACCTGCTCCGGATTGAGCACAAACTCAAGGTTGTCAAAGCTGCTGAGCTGGGCAATAAGAGATTGATCAGGCACGGGCTGAGCCTGCACTGTGACCGGGGCAGCGTTCACAAGAGTAGTCAAGTCTTCGCTTCCAGCTACACTCTGGACAATGTCATTAGATTTAATATCCAAGATAAGCTTCTCTAATGTTTCGTCATTCACCTGAGTGGAGTTGTCGAAAAGTTCTTGGATGTCCACAGAATTTTCCAGCACTGGGTCCAAGTCAAAGGGGTTTCTTTCCATCGTAGTTTGTATCATGCAATGCAATTATCTTGTAATGGCCAACAGGATTCACTAGGCCATCCGGGAGCTTAACTGTATACAGCTGGAGCGCTTATATAGTACACACGATGTGCAAGCCTTGCTGGTTAACTACGGATTGTGGATTTCCTGCTGAGGCCTTTAAATTTATATCGGCTTGCGCTCAGGTAAGTCCTGATAGTGTATTACTAATTCAACATGTGACGCTTCGTTGTTGCTACACAAGTGACGTCACATTATGTTGAAATGTTCGCTCTTGTGTAGCAAAACAAATAGACCACCTTAGAGTACAATGGAATGGCACACATGAAATGGGTTATGTCTATCTGTCGTAAAAATAGCTTAATGACGTCTGAAGAATCTATTTTAAGATGAATAGTTGCATAAATATCTCGAATTATGTATACTTAGATCCTGAGATGATATGTGTTTTTTATATGTTTAGTAAAATGATTTTCTTTTAATGTGGACCAACACGTAGAAGATATGAAAAAGAAATACGGTTCTTTTTACTCATCGTGTGCTATACAGTGGCCCACCCTTTTCATGTCTTTTTGGAATATAAATACTTTTTATTCTGCATTATATTTAAATTCCATACCACGAATAAGCATGTTGATAATCATTCAGATGTTTTTGGCCACCAGGAAGCGCATTTCAATGTCATAAATACTGAAAATACTTAATGAGTCGTTTACTCAAAAAAAAAAAAAAAAAAAAAAGAAAAGATCTTTTGTTTTTATATAATTTTAATGTAAATTATATAAAAACTATATTTATCATTCCTTTTACGATGAACACCAATTATAGATAAATCTTGCTAGCTAAATTATTCTGTACGTTTTAGCATCTCTTTATGATATTACTAGTAAAGGACAAATGATCGTACTTTTTGTCCCCAGAACCCTGAAAATAACAACTTTAGTCATGTTCATGTAAGTAAAATGAATAAGTTTAACCGCGTAAATTTTAATTTTTTATTCAAATTTCACAGTAGTGTGTTAAAAAGTGATAAAAAATGTATAGATTTATAAGGGTGCTTGCAGAAAGGTACAATTATGAACATCATAGAAACTTTACAATTGTCTTATATTTAGAAATTTGTTATTTTCATCATTTACAACCAAAAAAGGTCCTAAAATATCTACCAATCCAGATATCCATCTTTTTTATGTGTATAATCTGTCCTTAATATACTGGTCATTTAATAGTCGAATTTGTAAAAATTTTGCTTAAGCACCTTTTCATTTGTTGCCCATCTCTGGTAGTTGTTGACACAATACTATTCATTTACTGAAAAACGAACTGGAGTGCTTCAGTCACAATGCAGTAAATATATATCGCTGACACGCATATTTTATTGTTCAGTGCTTCCACAATTTACTTACCATAAGGCATTCCAAATAAATAATAGATTGGAAGGCATTGTGTGAATACCGACAGGAAATAATTAATTACTTTTTGATATTTTCTATTCAATCATTGAAAGACCACTTGCCATGCTTGTTATTAACCCTGGCTTAATTGTTTTTAATTAAATCTACTAATCTCCGTAAACGGATTATATTTGGATTAGAACATCTAGATCCCTGTTGTTGGCAGTAGAAAATCCTGAATGGACAAGAGCTCGGAGTCATTATTCAGTACAAAGTCAAGAATTGGAACACCGAGAACCGGGTCAGCCCCGGAGAAGTTTACAGGTTCCCATGGCAACTGGTAAATAAAGGAAAACAAATCAATGTCAGAGAAGCACGCAGCATCCGAGGCATTCACCGGGGGAAGAAAAATCATTATCTGCCACCTTTATGTTTGTGTGTATTGAATGCTATATAATTTTAATATTATTGGATTCTATTTTTCCTTTTGATTAAATGCTAAGATAAATGATCTTCTAGAACTCAGCCTATGATATATGCACTTTTTAGGAATTTCCTTTTTTTGGCAAAAGTGAAATAAGCTTAATTATGAATAAATAATGAGCATGTGTTGTTTACTTCAAAGCTGTCTCAATAACAATGCAGGAGTTATCGTTTCTGCACAAAAATATTGACAATGCAGTACTCCTCTCTCATGAATCGCAGCCATTTACACCTTCAGGGAAAAGGCACCGAGAGACTATTTATTAGCCATTTTCTTCTATGATAATCTATCTTTAAAATTATATATGGCATGCTTGTCTTTAAAATATTTTCAACAGTAAACTACCGCAATTTATTTATTGTGTAAAAATTGATATTTTGTCACTGTGAAAGAATATCAAAGTGATATTTTGTCACAGTGTAAAAGAATATCAGAAGTGGGATAAAACTCGCGATTTTCCTTCTCTTCACGAAAACTTTTCATTCGTTAGATGAGGTTCGAATCGACTAAGGTGTGCCGAGTGGAAGAATTTTGTAAAAAAAAAAAAAAAAAAAAAAAAAAAAAAAAAAAAAAGAAAACAACAACAAAAAAACTCCCTGTCCTGTTATAAGATTAGAGAGTTAGAGGATATATCAATGTTGTTGGATTTGGAATTTATTTCACGGGTGCGATCGAAAGGATTTTTAATTTTTTTTTCAGGACTGGGAAATACGAACATATTATATATGGTTTTGTAGATAAATTATCGTAGAAGAGAATGGTAAAAAAACAGTTTTCCAGTGCATTTTTCGAGGAGTGTAAATATATGACTGCGACTCTGGGAAAGGGGTCCTCCATTTAATTCGGACTTCTACCTTGTATTATGGTTTGAAAAATATTACAGAAACAAGTGCCCGTGGTCTGTTATCGTAATAAGGAAGTATATGTACATTCTTGAAACATCCTCTAGAGGATGCGTTCCATTCATTCGTTCCGATTCGATTCCGGACGTTCTGTTCTCCGTGATGAATGGAATGAACCGGAACAGAAGAGAAATTTTCAACATGGCTGCCAATGGGCGGAAAACCTGTCTGCTTTTTGTTTTATTTCAAGATTCCGACACTGACTCTGATTCTGAGGACGAAAATATCTTATTACCTGCACTAGCAGGCGCTATGTAAGTAAAGGCTATTTATGAATCAATTAAAAACTAAAAGGTTTTTGATCACGTGTGTTTTATAGTGGCTTAGGTATTAGTATTGAAACAAAAATGAAAAAAAAAAAAAACTAAATGAGGTTGGCATATGAAATAAATATTCATTTGGATGTTTTTTATTTACAGAAAGAAAGAAAAACCAAAAATATATGGATATGTGGAGGATGTGGTTCCCCTTTATTCTGATGCTTCATTTAGAAGAATGTTTCGACTGTCAAGACAGACATTTCAAATCCTCTCTTCATATCTAGAGGAAGTTCCAGAGATGAAGAAAGACGGTAATGGTGGTAAAGAACGAATGTTTCCACAAAAAGATATTTTAACCACATTATGGTACCTAGGGACTCTCGACAGCATTGACAGGATAGCAGACCGTTTTGGCATTTCGCCATCCTCGGTAATCAGGGCTAGAGACCGAGTTATGAATTCAATTCTAACTCATCTCAAGTCAAAATTTATAAAATGGCCCAATCCCAATGAATTAAATCAAATCGCAAACAATTTCCAGCAAAAGAACGGATTTCCAGGGATTGCTGGTGCATTAGATGGGACTCATATTAGAATAGCAAAACCAACAAACCATGGAGATTCATACATCAATAGGAAGGGATTTCCTTCCTTGCAGTTACAAGCGGTATGCAAGGAAGACATGATGTTTACTCATGTATTTACCGGATTTCCAGGAAGCTGTCACGACGCAAGAGTTCTTAGGAATTCCGATTTATGGGAAAATGGATTACAAATGATTCCAAATATATACCATATCATAGCTGACGCAGCCTATCCACTAAGAATATGGCTACTCACTCCCTACCGAGACAATGGTCACCTGACACACGAGCAACGCCGCTATAACAACTACCTGTCCAGCAACAGAATGGTAATTGAGAGAGCATTTGCTCTTCTGAAGGGTAGATTCCGCCGATTGCGTTTCCTGGAAACCCAGAAAATTGAGTATGCTGTCAAAATTATCATGACCTCTTGTGTTTTACATAATGTCTGCATTTTCAACCATGATGAAGTCGACGATTTCATTCAGCAAGATGTTATTGCAGCAAATTATAATGTTCCAGGAATCCAGGACTGTGAAGCCCAGGGTGTACAGAAACGTAATCAAATAGCCAGGAATCTTTTGTGATAGGCTAACTTCAGAATGAATGCATCATGTTTTTAAACATCATATTCAATAAAGAATACAGTAACTGTTTAATACAATACAATTTAATACAGAAAAATATAACAATGTAACAAAACTCAACAAAAGATGTCAAATCGAACTTATATGTCTTTTTATGTAAATAAAACTATGGAACATGTTAAAAAGAGTAAGATATATCTTGACAGGTATTTAAAGTCAGCTGTAAAAAGTCCTTTACAGATGTTTTGATGAAATTTACAGTGTAATCCATGTATTAAAGGTCAACTGAAAAGGTTCTCAAAGTCTGTTTAAACTACTTATTTAGGAAGTTGATACCTAAAAAAGAATTGTCCCATGATTATTTTTTTTTTACCCGTTGAAACACAGGTAAAAATTTCTCAAATCCGAAGCTCAGGTAAAACGGTCCGATATGAGTTATCTGCCCTTTAGTGGAACATGGCGTCGCCCATAATGTACGAGTCTAACGAAAGTGACACGGACGAAAGTATACCTGAAATAGACTTAACCCTTAAACTGACTGTGCAGCCGTATCAATACGAGCCAGTTAAAAGACAAGAAACAACAAGACAGCCGTTTGACGATGAAAGTGACTCGGGGCAGTCGGCACAAGGCAGCGTCCATAGTGATGATGAAATCTCTGAACAACTGCCGTCAGACATGCACTGGTATACAGTTATACATGTATTTTAAGTATTAACTAAAAGTATATGAAATGATCAGCATAAAAAACGTTTAAGAACCTTGAATTTAGAGGTAGATTTTAAGTATGCTGATTCTAGGATTAGTACTTCATGCTCATATTGGTATACTGGTCCTAAACACGATAGGACAGCTGTTGATGGACGAGAATAAATAAATAAAAAAAATTAGGGTTTCAAAGCCTATGGAGATATAAAAGATAGTATGAATTTAAAGAAATTTAATTGTTGTATGGACAGTGTAAATTGGATTACATTTACTACTAAGTATTTTTCATGAATTATGATTTATATAGTTATATTCATGAAAAGTATACTTTATTTACATGAATGCTAAAAAATTGCAAATATGGGTGGTAACATTTTTTTATTTTGGGGTGCAGGTGTTCCTGTAAAAATTGCATTACTATGCCAACTGCAAGAGAATGCAAATGTTGCCATTTTTATGCTGCTATTGAGTCAAGGTTGGAAGAGAGAGGAGAGACCTGCATCACAGAACACGAGGGTTTTGCAGCAAACTGTCTCAACAGATGGGTTTTAGAGACATCCTTTAATTTATGAATATCTAGAAGAACATGGACCACTGGAAGAAAATGAATTAGTACACAAGTAGGTTTTTTTGTTGTTGTAAAATTGTAAAATGTAATCTTGATAATACAGATAAAGAAGTACTATACATGCATGTAAATACCTCTGGTCATTCTGATTGAAAGGAATATTTAATACTGTCTGAACTTATGGAGCACTCAAAAACAGATATACTTCACAATTCTAGAAAATATTTTAAATGTTATCTTTTTAATGATCATGATTTTATGTCAAAGGATTTGGAATAAAATTAAGCAATCGTTTACTTGTAAGCATGAATGTTTGTGTGTGGATGGGGGGGGGGGGGGGGGGGGGGGGGGGGAGTTGTACCTGGTACTGCAACTGTAAAGACATGTATTATAGATTATACATTTCAAATAATAGCTTATTTAAAACAAAAAAAAAATCACTGAATCTAACTGCAAGTGTCGTTAGTTCTGATTATTTTTAAAAAGTTTGTCTGTTCTTAGTGTTTACAGGCATCTAGCATATCGATGATTTGTGCGATGGATATGGCAATGTTTGGGGAAAAACAACAGGAAGATCTTGCCATCATGTGTAGTAACAAAGATTAGAACTGCATTTCCATCTCAGCAATACTGTGGGTTTAGGTATCCAACGGGAATGTCCTAGGTACACATATTTGGGGAAAAAAAAAACAATGGAATCTTTTTAAAGGATTGTAATATAAACAAGCAACTTCATTATCCCTGTATTCATGACTCAAAAGACATAATTTTATTTTTACAAGCTTAGAAAATTATTGATGTTTACAAGCTTAGAAAGTTTTTGACATTTGAGCACAATTCATTTTGTTTGTTCATGATTGTATGGTAAACTAACATTTTTTATTAAACCGACAGATATGGCGCTCCACAAGTTCTGACTTTGGGACATGTTGGTACGAGGATGCAATTGAAGCAGGACAGTTCACCATGGCAGCCTCACGACTCTTTCTGGACTCACTGTACGAACCAAACTCCAGTCTCACTTTGATCACTTCTTGCATCAAAACCATTGCATAATCTTTAAACAAACAGAGAAATAAATTTTAAAGAGATGTATGTTAATATGAATAAAATTAAGACACACTATTACATACTAAATGTATTGAGTTATAGGAAAAGTTTTAGAATTTTTACTTACTGTATGTTTGCTTTACTTTGACTTCCTTTGGAATGCCAGCTCCATTTCTGCCTTTTGGATATGACACAGAATATATTAGCTCTCCACTTTTGTTTACAGCTTGATCCCGGCTGGAGTTTTCATTGAAGTGCAGGGCTGCAATGTATAGTCTGGAAAAAAGAAGAACAGTGGAATTCATGAATTATGATTAAAATCTTTTTTTAAAAAAATTCTTAGCATTTGAGTTTTGAATAAAAGAAAAAAAATACTTACCTGGCCTTCATTGAAGCATAAAAGAAATGCAAAGATTTGGGTGCAAAATGACACACTACATTGTGGTAGGCTTCAAGTGCTGAAGTTTGCTCTGCAGGGGAGAGTTTCTTAATGTCTTGCACCAGCAGTCTGCCCTTAACAACTTTTTCCATCTCCTGGAAAGCTAGACTACCTGAAATAAGGATACATTTTTTTTGTAGTTCAGATCAATATTGCTTCATAACAAAGTACAGACTTTCATATATTTATGTATTGTAGAATATATGTGTCACATAATTACACTGTATATCTGCAAAGTAGAGGCTCAAAAATGTTGTGTGTTTTTTTTTTTCAAGCCCATGCTTACATAGTTACCTTTCTTAATCCAATCTCTGTCCTCCAGGTCACCATGTAAGCACTTGGGGAATCGCTTCCCATGACCCTCATGAACATCAGTGATGTGGTTGAGGATAGACAGCCATTTCTCAGACACCAATTCACCATCTCCTTCACTAGATGCTGCACACCAGTATAGGTGGTTTGAAACTGACCGTGCCCAATCACCCACTTGCTTGTACTTCTTTTTCTTCCCAATAGCCTCCAACTTTTTAAACACCCCTACAAAACACAAATAATTTTTAAATGATAAGTATATATAGCTATTCAGGTAAATAACTTAAATGAGGAATACCTAATGCATTAATGAATTGTATAAAACTGTAAAGTGAGTTTACCTTTGGCCATATGCCACACATCAAACCAATGGTTGATGTCACTTCTTTCTTTTTTCATGTAAGCTTTAATCTGGGGATGTCTGTCAGTAACAAGGTCACTAATAACTACTCCCTCCTCTTCAACTCTCTTAAGGCACCTCGTCAAACCCTCCATTTCCATCCTATATGAACTTTTGACTTCATTGCTCTTAAAAAGTTAAGCATATAATGTTTTGAGAACTTGAACTCATTTTAAACATGGCATGCTATTTGGTATTCAGTGCTGAATGTTGATGTTAATATTTCCACTTTTGGCCAAGTAATATATGCATGCAAGTGCAGTAAGGTAAAAAATAATAATAAAAGGTATTGCACTCTTCTTACCTGAACTAGTTGAACATCAAGTATCTGTCTCAGCTCCAGATCCATCAAACTATATGATCCATATTTAGCTGTGTGTCCAGGTGAACAACATCTAGCATCTCCCCCAACAACAACAGCTACATTTTGTTGTCTTATTACATCAAATATTGCATCTTGATGTACTTTCCAAACCCTTTCAACAGCTGGTACAAGATAATGCTGTTGGATGTTGTGATAGGTTCTCTCTGAGAAACAGGATATATTAGCATGTTGAAACATGGTCAAACTTTGATTTATGCTACTGCCACTAATTAAAATTGCTGCTGACAAGACCAAGTTTCCAGTAGGAATTAATCCAGTGAAGGGTTGTGATCCCCATGTGAAAGTCTCCCCACAGACACATACCCTGGACACAAACAACAGAGTTCCAACTATGGTTTTCTTAATGTCACACTTCTGTCCACATATTGTACAAATCTGGAGAAGCTGGTCTAAACATTCTTCAAATACAATAAACTTTCTTCTACAGTGACTTGGAGGAACATGATGATGATCTATGTTGTTGTTTTCATCAAGATCAGGTGGAATCCATTCTGAAGCTGCAGAATCAGTGCTGGCCAGTGACTCGAAGCTCTCGTCAAGGTCCTCAGGTGCATCCAATGAAAACATTGTTTCTGTTTGGGTACCAGTTGATATTGTACTGGGCCGAATCTCTGTCTGTATAGAGACATGCCTGCGTTTCTAAAAGTCATGAAGTAAAATTAAAATGAGACATATGAAAATTATTTAATTAAAATATTTTCTTTATAATAAATTGATAAATTCAAAATGTTCTGTTTCAATCAATAGCAAATCAATACAAATGAAACAAAACTTACCACCAACCCATAATTAGTCTGTGTAGACATTTCAAAAGTCATTGTGTGTGCTCCACTTTGACAGCTTGGTTCTGTGTTTAGAGTCTCTGGGCTGTCCTGAAACTGGCTCGGAGGAGGAAGAATAATCTCTGCATCTTCATTAAGGTTCTGAGCCTGATTAAGATTACAAATATTATTAAAGTTTACCACATTGTGATTAACTTTTCAGTACAGGTACCGTTATATAGGCCTATATATTTTTAAATTTAATTTGTTTATTTACCAAGGCCCCACAGGGCGAAAGGAAAGTTCATTGTAAACACCTGTATATTATCATTATATACGAATTTCATTACAATACCTGCATGAATTACATATATTATATGTAATTCATGCAGGTATTGTAATGAAATTCGTTATTTAAAGTACAATGTATGTGGACAAATCTACTCTCTACACCACAACTAATAATTTAAACAAATATAGATGCATTAAAATTTCGTAAATCCATTTCAAAAATAAAAAAAAACTTACTGCGAGTGCACGTCTTTTCTCCAAAACTTTCGATGTCCGACCTTGTTTTGGTACATAGGAAACATCTACATCTGCTGTTTTCCTTTTATGGCCTTTAATGGCTTTAGTATCCAATGGAGTATAGTCAAACATGCTAGGTATGGCATCTTTTTTTAACTGGAGTCGACTATACCCCATGCATCGCGCTCTGGAAGGCTCAATTATAAAACAGTCTGGGGTAAAATGCCGCTCGCAAAGCTTTGAATGTTTGGATGGCCAATAATTAATGGTTTTCAGCTTTCTTACCCAAATTTGGCATAATTTGGGATCCTCGGGGAAGGAAAACATAGACACACCCTGTCCGTATCGGATATTACAGTTTGGTGCTGCACACAGCACCATATTTTATTTCTCAATCCCCTATCGTCTGAAGCATGACGTTTCAGCGTCTGTAGTTTCAATATGGCGGGTTCGTGTCAAGGGGCATAACTCGCACAAAATTTTAGGTCAGATTTCAGGTGTGACAACTTTTACCGTAAATATTTCGGAAATACATTAAGATATAACCGAATAACTAATATAATTTAAATTCTATGGTTTACTTGAAGATAATAAGGGGTTAATTAAATGAAAGTGAAAAATCATTTCAGTTGACCTTTAAGACTACATGCCACAAACATTCTTTTCCTTACAGCTTAAAAGATAATAACAACAAATAATACTTAAGTTCAATATATCATGGTCATGGAAGAAAAAAAAGATTGTTTCTCCAATAGACATTGCCATAAATGAACGTAATACAAGGTCAAAAAATTAATTATTCATTGCAGCTGCCTACAAATCCACTTATAGATTCAATGAATCTAACCCCACCCCCACCCCCCACCCCCATTTCACCTATTCATCAAACTTATTTTTTAACACTTAAGTTTAAGAGAATTTAGTTGTCTAAGCAATAAATATTACAAAAATTTTACTTAGTTCTCAATTATGTCCATCAATGAACTTGGTTAGGGACTCAAATAAAGCAGGTTGGTGCATTCAAGCATCCTTTAAAAGTCACAAGATTTGTAATGTATAAAAGCCAAACTATTTCTTTAAAAAAAAACTATCTAGCCACTCTTAGAATTGTGGGTAAACAACTGCAAAC